TCCGCCCTCCCCCCCCCCTTTCCCCCTCCCCGCCTCGCCATTGGCCATATCGCTATTCTCTGTAGTGCTGCTGCAGTGCTGCTGCTGCTGCTGTTGGTGGCGGCGGTGGCGGTTCTCTATTTTTTACGACGGCATTGGCGCGTAAAAATACGGCGGCCGTAGACTCGCGGCCCCGGGATTGATTCCGATGACGACGATGGCCTGCAGTGCCCCGCCCCGCCCCAGGCCTTCCGCGCCGCGCCACGCCACGCGCCCTTATTTGAATAGTCCGGTTCCCATTACCGCCGCTAATGGGGCGTCGGCGGCGCGCTCTTCCGGCCGCACACTCCGGCTGCCCGACCCCGGCCCCGGCCCGCCTGCTGCCCGCCCGCCCGGCCAGGGGACAGCTCACTCGGGGGCGGAGGCAGGGAGGCAGCCATCGTTCCCCATGGTTCCCCCCGATGCCTCGGTGGACGACATTGGCGACCACACTGTGCTGGGCGGACCCGGCCGAGAGCGCCTGCAGAGCGCGGGGTAGGCCATCCGCGCACAGCCCTGTCGCCGGGTTGCCTAGCGGCCGGGCGCTCCAGCCCGTACCATTACCATTAAGGACCACGCCAACGGCAGCCAACGGCCTCGGGTTCGATTACCGCCAGGGGGAAGCAAAACAAGTGGCGTGGCGGGTGGCGAACTTGATGAAACACGGGCGAGCGTGTCGCGCGCGCTAGCGTGCGCCGGCGAACTATCTGTCTACAGCGCGTCGTCGGCGCGGCGCTGGCGGGGGAGGGGGGGGGGACGAGGGCTTGGCCCTGACCCCCGAAAAGACGACGCCAGTCTTGGGAGCGGCCCCAGCTGCCTCCCCTCGACGGCGGGCCTCGGGTTTAACGCATTCTCATTTGCCGCTCCCTATGAATATGATTAAAGAAAGCTGCTGACGCGACGCTCCCTCGCTCAAGGTGCGCCTTCCCCGCCCCGCCGCGCCCCGCCGCGCCCCGACCGGGTTCGCCCCGCGGCGATATTGCTCCGGCGCCATCGGGCGGCAACGGCTGCCGTATTCGATTTCCCCTTGCGGTGCCGTGGCTGCCGTGGCTGCCGTGGCGGTGCCGCGCGCCTTGTGGCCAGCCGCGCCCGGTTAGGCTGCTCCGTTCCGCGCTCCGACGACAAGGGCAGCGCCAGAGCACCGCCAACGACTTCTTGACGTGCGCGGCGTGGCGGCGTGCGGCTGCCAAGGCGAGTGCTGAGCACGGGCTCGGATTTCCTCGTCGCTTCGCTACCCGGCCGGGGGGCAAGAGGCAACCAGCGGCAAGGCCGGCGCGGGCTGGACCGCCCGACCGGAGCGCGTTAGGCAACCCGCTGGCCGCCCTGTCTGGCGGGCTGGCCTACCCCGCCGTCTGCAGGCGCTCGGCCCGCTCGGCCCGCTCGGCCGATGCAGTGCGACATCTCCTCTCCCTCCTCACCACGCCAAGCCACGCTACACGCCACGCACGCTCGCGCTCGTCAGTGAATAACTCACAGCCAATTAGCCCCACCCCCTCTCCTCGCCCTAAACAGACTGGTAAATACTTGAATCGCTCATGACGAATTCGTGAGGCCCCCTCGCCGCAAACTCGCCCCTCGCTCCCGGCCCGTGCCCCCCTCCCCTCCCGTCCACCCCGCTAAGCAGGCCGAGGGAGGGAGGGCGATGGCGCTGCAGAACCAGTCCGGACGGGACGAGCGGGCTGTCGACGGCCGAGGTCGTGTCCCTCGTGTTCCCTGTGTCTCAAACTGCACTTTGCCGTGGTCATGAAGACTCTATTCCTTGACCTTCTCCGCCTGCACCAGGGCCTCGCCGAGCTCGTCGCGGTCGCCCCCGCCGGCCCCGGCGTGGAGCCCTCCCGGTTATTGCTGCTTCCTCCGCCTGTCTGCTCCTGCTGCTAATATTCGTTACAGCCCCGTCCTACCCTCCAAACTCCCAACCAGAAAACCCGTTTAAAACATAATCAAAATCACAACCTCCTCCAGCTCGAGCCCCGGAGCGTATTGAGCGACTTGGAAGCTCGCTGCTGCGAGAGCATCTCCTCTTCCTTCCAGCCGCGCGCTTCGCGGTGCTTGGCGGTGCTTGGCGGTGCTTCGCAGCCGTGCCGCTGCTTTTCAGCAGCAAGTCTCGCTCGGAAAAAGCGCTCTGGCGCCGCGGTCGCCACTGCGCTCCCCGGCCGGGCAAAGCGCGCAAGCGCGCCGCACCCGTGTTTATTTTTAGAAGGGAATATTTGAAAGCCCTTCTGAGGACGACTGCGTGCCGCGTGCGTTCATGAAAGTTTGCGAGGCGCGCGGTTCGCTCCAGCGCCTCCGGCAGGCCGACTACGTACAGTGTAACGTCGCTCTGTCTCTCTCGCACCTCTGCGGCCCGCTCCGCGAGTGTGAGCGAGACCGCTGCTCGGGATCGGTCTGCAGTCTCCGGCAGCGCGTTGAAATTAGTCCGCGGATTTCCTGTCATCAAACGTGTGGCGCCACAAGGCAGTGGATGGCGCTTGGCGCTTCGGAAAGGGACCGTCCCTTTAAAGTCATGGGGATTTTTCCCCTTTCGTTGCTGCGTTCTCCCGGGCGAAACGCGCGCGCTTTAGTGAATAAGAGGATGGGGCACCTAAAAGTGAGTGATTCCAGGAACCGCGCTGCAAAATGGGCTGACCCCACGGCCAGCAGGCCGCTTCCGAAACGCAGTCCCGTCGCTCTGTCTCGCTCGCGCCCCCACGGCCACCCACGAGTGCGAGGGAGGCAGAGCGACAAGGCCGCTCGCTCGGAGGCGGCCTGCAGGGGCGGCCAGTACCGCCCGGACCCCCGCCAGCCTGCGTCCGCCTGCGCCAGCCCCAGCCAATATCCTGAGGTATTTTCTTGGGGATGACCACAGGGGGGGGGGCATCAGATTCCACCGCTGCGCAAGGCCTGGCAAGGCGAGGTGTCGGTCGCGCTGGGGCTCAACGGGGCTCTCGCCGGCCCGGCCACCCAAAGCCGGCCGCCACGGCGTGGGCGTCGGGCGTCGGTCGGGGTCACAGCGTTGTCGATATTATGTACCGGGGGCCCAGGGCAGCCCAGCCTCGGGCCTGGCGGTGCGCACCCCATTGTTGGTAGCCAGGTGGCGGGGTGGCCCAGGCAGGGGGCGGACAGCGGGAGCACCCCTGCACCACTGTTAGGTCTTCGAGCTGCACGAGAAGGCCATCCTCACGTACGTCCCCTCGGCCTCCCCGCCGTGACGCCGCCACCACTCCTTGGCCAGCAAGTCTGCCAGGTCTGCCGCCATGGCGGGCTTCCCTTCCTCCCGCCAAACCAAATTGGAATTATGCAAAAACAGAATAAATAAACACAATAAGGGAGTGGGGCCTGGCCGGGCTTGCCGGCTTCCCCGCGGACGTGGCGCCGCCCGGCCGCCCGGCCAACAAGACCCACGTGACGGAGATGTGGCTCCAAGTTGAGGACGCGCAGCGCAGCCAAAAGCCACCCTGTCAAGCAACGCGCTGCGCGGTGCTTCGCGTTGAAACGGTGGAGCCGGGAGTGGGGACGCGAGCGGCCGTCGCACAAAGGCCGCGCGAGAGCGAGAAAGACCTGGAAAGAGGGAGACAGAGAAAATGAACCACACAACTGGCAAGTCGTATGGCCCATGGCCCGGAACTGCCGTCTGATTCCGAACACTGCTTCGTCGCTCTGTCTCTCTCGCACCCCTACGGACCACCCCATGAGTGCGAGAGAGACAGAGCGACGAAAGCAGTGCTCGGAATCGGACGGCTGCGCGGCGCGGTGCCCGGTCTCAATGTGCCCCGTCGCTCGGCGTCACTGCCAGAACCCGGGCCGGGAGACCTTGGCATTGGCCCTGTGGTGGCGCTTCGCTTGCCGCATGGCTTGCCGGTCGGAAACTGATCCTGGGCACGGCAGGGCGGCACGGCATGGAATCGGCGTCACACTTGTTATTGATCATCGACCTCGGCAGTGAGCTGCTACACCGCGCGCAAAGACGCGCCAACGTCGACGCCTAGATGCACCAGTTTTCACCCCCACCCCCTGAAGAGCGGCGATTTGGCGTTCCTGGCCGAAGTGGAGGTTGATTCGATCCCGGACCGCTGCCACCATGCTGCCGCTGCGAGACGAGGCCTTGGTGACCGCTCCATTGGCCACCCTCGACCTCGACGAGGGGCGGGCCTGCCGAGGGGAAAACAGGGTAAGTAAGAGAGGATTCGATTTCAAGCGCGGCGCGGGATCAAATTATTGGTGCGGGTGGACTTACCCCGCAGCGCGTCGTTTCATTCCCCCACCCCTCTTCCCGTCCTCCTCCAGCGCTCCACTTCCAGGCGAGTCTCCAGGCGCCCTCGTGCTTTGTGCACTCCAGCCGCTCCAGCCCGGCAAAGCGCCTTTGGAGGGCCCTGCGGCCCCGCGGCCCTTCCGCGCTGCGCCTCGCTGTGTCTACGCGCCTCTTCACCGTAAAAGTCAAGGCGAGGTTCGAGGTTCGCACTGAGCGCTGCAACGCTGTCTTGCTGCTCATTGCGGGCCACAGCGTGTTGCCGAGCCACACTCGCAGGCTCACTCCGAACAGTCTCTCTCTCTCTCTCTCTCTCTCGCGGCCCCTGGGAACGCCGCCGAGTGCGAGGGAGACAGAGCGACCGCAGCGCCGTCCGGAAGCAGCCTGCAGCCTGCAGCCGCAGCCCGCGTCCATTCAAATCCACCGCCCGCGGCGTTCGAGTTGGAGCCGCTGCGCGCTGCGCTGCGATTGGTCGCTGCTGGTGCTCGCTGTGTTGTGGAACTGTGGGACTATGTGGGACTCCCCGGCCCGCGACCCGCACCTGTCAGCTCTTCTCCGCCAGAAGGGGCTGAGAACGAGTTTAATCTCTTTGCTGCGTGTGTGTGTGTGTGTGTGTGTGAATCCCATCAACGGCCAGAGGCAAAAGAATGTCGACAGGTCGCTTCCACGTTCGACGCGCGGAGCGAAAGACTCTCCTCCGCGTTGTTGAGGTGCAACAGAGGAGTGCGCTCAGTTGAGAGAAAAACGGAGAAAACACTTGAGTTGATCACACACAATTTATTCTAGTATTGGCCAGGTTGCATTGATAAGTAAAAACAAAAACAAAAAAAAACAAACAACTCAGCTCCATGTGAACAAGTACAAAGCATTAGAAAAAGGAAAACTAAAACAAACTTATGAAGTTTGAGTCAATGAAATATGAAATATATTACAGAGTTTCCTGACGGTGATTAAAAATACAATCGTAAGTTCTCTCAGTCTTTACAAAAACCATGTTAGTGAGTTGGCACTCTTCTTGACCAGAATCTTGCCCGGAAATCATCGGAGCACGTGAGGAATGCCGCCGTTGTTGGGGAATGTGAGATGTGCCGCACTGGACCATTATGACCTGTGGAAATGAAAAAAACAAGTCAAATTATGAACTCTTCTCATACCACCTTGGAACAAACTATTACTGAAGCAAGAATTACCTAAGGACAATAAGGATTTGCGAGACGCATTCCTTGAGTTCCAAGCACACAAAGAAGTGGTAGCCTCATCAGGAAACATAACAAAATCTTCTGTGTGGTTGAATACAGCCTGAGTCTTGTGTTCCTGTTTGCCTGAATGAAAAAAAAGACATAGATGGTAAAGTGGCAAAAGGTCTTAAATAGAAGACAGTTGTGTAGACAACACATACCTGTTGTTCCTGCACCTGTGTAGGCAATCAAGCAGCGACTGGTGTTCAACTCCCATAGCTTGACTAAGGAATCTTTACCAGTTGAAAGTAAATACTGTAACAAGTACCAAAAATATTGAGATATTTCACGTACAATTGTTACAAATTCACATTCCAAGTTTACATACACAAGCTTTTATTAAAACACTACATCAGTGTACCTTGTAAGAAAGAGTTCAACTTACCTTGCCATTACGAGTAAAAGTAACTGAACAAACTTCTGCCCCACCATGGGCTTTCACAAATGTATTAACACATCTATTTGATACACCATCCCAAATCTTAATACTTCCATCACGACTCCCAGAAGCAAACACTTTAGCATCTGGGGAGTACCTGAACACAGAAGATTAGGGCATTATGATTGGAAAAAAAAGAGCATTTGCCAAAACTATGAGCTGATATGAATTATAAACTCACTTAACAGACGTGATGCCAGAGGTATGTTGATGAACAGGAACATTACACACAAATGCTTGGGCAGTCTGGACATCATACAGTCTGATAACATGATGGTTTGTACCAACAACTAGGAAGTCACCAGCTGGGTGAAAGGATAAACATTTCACTTGATCCGCATCCTGAAAAAAATTAAGCACAGATAAAATTTAGAGATAGCTTTTGAGTTTTAATTATTAATAAGTGCAATACTAACGGTAATTGTTCGGAATGCTTTCTTGACTGAAGTTTTGCTATAGTCAAATAGTTTTACTGAGTAGTCCCTGGATCCTGAAGCAAGGATGGGCTCTCTAGGATGAAATTCAAGGCAGGTCACCTCTTCTACATGATCATAGAGTGTCCTGATGACAGGGTGGCCTTGTGATTCAGGCCCTGATGATTCCATTCCCGCCTCTGGAGCAGATTTAGCCAACATTCGGCTCACATCCAAAATCTAAAAACAATTTCAGGAAGGTTTTAAATGCCGGAAAGGTCCTGCAAACTGATTCATGACAATGGAGGGAGCTAAATTTTTCACACCTTGATAGAGGCATCATGGCTTCCCGTTGCAACCATTTGAGCATCAGGACTGAATGCACCTGCACGACATGGCCCTTTATGGGAGGTGACGTAGGCGGTCTCATACATTGCAGGTTCAGGAGCATTTGTATGCATCTCGGTCTCAAACTCTAAATCTATTGTAAAACAAGGAAAGTTAAGGAGTTTCTCTTCAAGCTTATAACATTCCTTCAAAAAAAGAAGGAAAAAAAAGAAAAAAGAACAGAGGCGAAGAAATAACAAATGTTTGTATAATGCTTGCTCACCTAAGCCTGGTCCCAAGAAACTGTCAGGGCTGATAGAGGCAGTTAAACCTTCTTTCTTACGTTTTCTTTGAGCTTCATATTCTAGTCCCATCATCATAAGGTTGAAAAGACGATCACTAGGGGGACAAGGAGGATCTGGGTTGGTGAGCGACTGCACTTCAAGCGCTTGCTTCTGGTTGCCATCGTAAAACAACTGGCTGCAAAAGAGACAAGAACCGAGTAAATTAATTGCCCATATAGAGACCATGCAGGAAAAACTAAGCAATAGTACACTACAAAAACAAATGTCAGTGTACTTGCACATAAGCACATCATCCATGAAATAAGGTTAAGGAATCAACGAAGTAACATACGAGACAGCTCATCATCATATATAAGTCAAGAGCCATGCTCGAAACATAAAACAAGCTCACCTGACCATCAGACGGTAAAGAAGTTCTCTATTTTTGACTACGTTTTTGGTTTCCAGAGTCTCCGGTGGTGGCAGAGGGACTGTCGGAATACCGGGCCCAGAGGGCGGGTGCGAGTTGTTTGATGCCATAGCTATAAATCTAGAGACAGATTTGACAGTGGAACGAAACAAAGATCCAACAGAAGTCACGCAGCTTGTTGACTGTTCGACAAAGTGTCAAAACACAAGCGTAGCTTGTAGCACACGACACGACTCCGTCCGCTTGTTGACAGCCGGCTGAAGGGAGACAGGGGGGAGACATCAGGACATCCTGCCCAGGTAAACGGTATACCACATGTGCCCGTGCCCTAGGCTTCCTGTCAGAGTTAAATCCTAGCGTGATATTAGCTTTCTGCATCAGGAAATGATAAGAATCATCGTTCATTCGCTTGCAATAGTTCAAATCCTGTAAATTAAGGATATGCGGTAATGTTATTCCATGTAAGAGAAATTTGTGGTCGTGTTCAAGTCGTCCTTATTTCTCATATTTGTTTTTCAGGCGATCGGACATTTCGGAAAATCGTCTCGTCTCGCCTACCTCCTCCTTCTGCCGTGGCTTCATAAAGCACCCGTTTTGAAGTAAGTTTGTTTCTTTATCCTATCTCCCTGTTTTATTTCAGTGAAATGGCCGTGAGGCTTTACTGCGTACTTGCTCCCCACGAAATGGACGCAGTGATTCGGGCTGCCGAAGACGAAGACGAAGACGAGCCCGAAGCCTGCCTGACCTGCGCCAGCCTACGGACGCAGACGCACCTTGGAGCCGCTGCCGCTACGCTTCGCTTCCTTTGTGATTGTTTATGTTTCGTTTCAAGGCACCTGCCATTCTTGTCGGCTCGACCATGTTAATCTGCAGACTTTAATTTTACGTCAACTCGCCACGGAAGCCGTCCCCTCTGAGCGGTGCACCCAAGGCAGGTTCTTTTCTGCGTATCTCGGCGTTGCTTATCCCTTGGTTTGGTGAGCGGGGCACTTTGCGTCCGGTCCGGCCTTTAATGATCACAACAATCTATCACGTAGTCTCTTTAAACTCGGCTGGATCTTTTCTCTAGTGAGCCTTCTCTTCATTTCCCAGTTTGTTTGTCCTCATCCTTCTTTGTATCATTGCTGTCAGCAGGAATTCCTATACACTGTCAAACATGTTGTGTAGATCCTTCATTTTGGTAAAATAAAATAGGTGCCTGTCTTTATTCTTAGATAAGATATGTGTTTAAAGTTTCAAGGAGCTTTGTCAGGTACACAAGGTATTCTCATGTGGCAAATAAATTTAAGTTTCATCAATGATTAATCTGCTAAACGTGGAATTGTCCGGTCCCAGTGCAGTCCTTCAAAAAAATGCTTAAGTTGTCATTTTTATCCATCGCTGTATAGGTTGTCAAGTTTTAAATACAATGCCATCTCTAAGCCATTGCGTGTGTCATTTGTGGTGTGTAACAGAGACTGTTGTTCTAGGCTGACTGTGCTGTCCCGGCTGGAGCCATGAATAAAAAGTAAGTCTTTGTGTCTACATATTTATTGCACTTCTATGGTATACAGCCAATTTTATTTTCATACCTTTTTTTTTTAAGTCTAATTAGTTTTTATCTTTAATGGTAATCTTACTAAAGTTGAAGGAACAAGTTACATCACACAATTGTGTTTGAGTTGTTTCTTCAACATTAATCCACTATGGATGTGTACTTATTACAATGCACTATATTTACAAATATATTTCATGAACTCTATGCTCTCTTATGAAACAAAGCTTCCATATTCTTATCAGGAAGCTCAGTTGATAGGACATCCTTGTTAGCATCTACACTGCTATTCAATGGCACTATTACATTTTTGATCTTCTGTTGGTCTGAATGGCCTGGTTTAGAATTAATCAATCCTCGGATTACTGTGCTCAGTTGTCCTACTATAAAGATGACTGCAACCAACCATTGAGGAGGGTTTTTACACAGCAACTTTCTAAAAAATTTCTCAATAATTGATGGAGTCCATGTTATAAAATTAGACAGTGCCATCATTTTGATTTCTTTCAAATGGCAAACCTTTTCACTTTCTATTTCTTCAGTGTGTGCTTCTTGGGATTCTTCCGCACTTATTGCTTTTCGATGTTTGCTTCTCTTTGCTGTTGAGCGGTGGAGCACGGCTGTTCCTATCATAGAAATAAGATATGTCAAAGTAATCAGTCCTGAGAAATATGTTTGCACCACCCTGTATTGAAGTTCACAGTTTCCACTGCAAGGGTTTGAATTATCATTCTTTTTGCCTTTTCTCTTGTATTCTTGGCCTGGTTCCATTTGTAAGTGCATAAACATATTTTTCCATTCTTCCTTTGTCTGTGGTTGAGATATTACATAGGAGTTAGAGCCATCCCTAATTTCAGTAACACTTCCGTTTATGAGCTCATATATACGCTGTACTACTGAGATGGTCTGATTGTTGACAAATTGGTGGTCCTCTGAAAGATTTACTTCACTGGAACATTCATTTGGCATTCCACTAGGAATCAAACTTATCATTTCACAAGTATTATTAGAAATTTCTTGGTTTGAAACTTTGGCAATCATGTTGCTTGGAGTCAACTGGTGTAATATTACAACTGAGGCTATAGGTAAAAGCCATTGCGCAACTAATTCAAAAGATAGCCTCTTCCTTCTCCTCACATTTAATGGGTTGCTTCCAGTTGAATCATTCTGTGGTTTGGCATTAAACCAGCATTCCATTGCCATCAGAAACATTGATATAAAGCTGTGAACAAATGATATAAGAAAAGTGGAAGTCTCTGCTAAAATAGTTGTATTACTGCATGTTTTATTTTTTATTGATTCCTCCTGGAAAAGAGCCAGTCCAATCAGTATAACTCCTATGGAAGCACTTAAAAGAGAGTCTGACGTAGCAAGTACCCCAAAGCTTGTGAAACCATGATAACACTGTTTACGTAACAAGAATATCACTGCCACTGCACAACCAAGTAATAGCACAAGACCTGTCGATAGGACTACAGTAGACCACATTTCTTGCTTTTTGTCCCTTCACGTCACCCACTTAGTTTTGTTTTCTTCAGGGTGACAAATTGTCAACTGATCACTTTGTTGCCTGTCTCAGGTGTGTTATCACTTGTTTCACTCAACTCCTTTTGCTTAACTTCTGCATGCACTGTCCACAAAAGTCAGCAGAAGACTGGGAACAGCTCTGAACTGTTGTTGTGGCCATAGGGGCACAGTACAGTTATTGCTGTGCCCACATGGTGGCGTTGCCCTATGTCACATTATTATCTTGTCTTTTGCCTTTACCCTGTTGAGTTTGCAGGGAATACAATTTTTTTTTTGTTCAGCATTAAATTACTCATGCATATTTTTGTCACAACCAACCGTTCACAATTGTAAATGGTTTTAATCTAATGTCTGTGGTTAAAAGTTTTTCCCCTTTATGCTATCAATATTTTTATTAAAATTGAAAATTGAGTCAGATGTAAAACTTAGTTTGTGGAGAGTGGCCTGGTGGCGAGGAGTGACCGGTGCCGCGCCATGCCACGCCATGCCACGCCCGGGCCCGCATGCTTCCCTCCAGGACACGCGTTACAAGAGACAGCGCGACCTGTCTTATCAATTAACTACCTGGGCCGGACTCCAGTGTGCAGAGGAACTTTCACAAAATTTTACATTTCTTTCCTCTCGAATCGCCCATCGAAAGTCTTTGAAAGGCTTCTGTCGTGTAAGAGAGACAGCTTGCTCCTGTTTTGGCTCTGAGACGGAGGCAGACCGGCTTCGATTCCCGGCAAAAGCAGACAGTTTTGTCGGTGTAAATGACCGTTTACAAGCTTCCAAAGTCAGCGCAGTGCAACTTTGAGACACCCGAACGATTTGGTGACAGTTGCAAATTGAAACCCCCTCCGCGGCGCCGGGAGTCGAAGCTAGCATCGGGTTCAGCCCAAACCGTTGCCTCGCCTGAGTGTGGGTCGAGGACCGAACCGATGTGAGACTATGTCACCTCACTTCTCTTCGCTTTGTGTCTAACTTAGCGCCACGTGTTCCAGACTTTACTTGGCGATGTCGCGGCGGCGGGTCTCGAGTCCTCAGACGACGCAACAGTTGTGGGATGCAATCAGGATAACCAGCTACCAGAGACAAATTCCAGATATTACCAGAATTTCGCGGTATATGAGCCGAATACATGGAGTTAATGAAGGTACATTCATCTTTTTGAAGTAAAGAATTGTTTACACTCCAAATATTTTTCTATTGCTCAGTTTATCATGCTTTTGTTTCAGATGAGGTTCGTCGTCAGCTTAGCTACTGTGTACGTGATGGTCTTATTCGTCTTGTAAAACGATTAGGGTATAAAGGGAAAAAAATTGGTGTGGAACAAGAAAGCTACAGGCTCCCTAAGCCAAAGATGCTTGTATGTATGACATTTTTTATCTTATCTCTTGTTTAAGAATGCACACAATGAATTTACTTTCATTATTATTTTCTTCTAGCCCCGTGACGATCATGATTGGTATTGTTTTGAGTGCCATAGTGGAGGTGATGTCATTTGTTGTACATCATGCCACCGAGTATTTCACCTAGCTTGTATTGAAAAAGAGGAGCTCCCAGAAGATGATGTAAAGAACAAGTTTCTTTGCAACGTCTGCAAGGTGATCTTTTAAGTATATTTTTTTAAAGTACTGTTAAGATACTGATCAGTTTCATTCAACAACTTTTTATTATAATTTCTTTTTGATGTAGAATTGTGAAGGCACCGAGGAAAACTTCAAAATTAAGAGAGTCCAACTAAATCGATTACTAACATTTACCTGTGCAAGACTGAAAGAGAAGGTAAGTTGCTATGATCAAGTTAATTTGTTAAGGGCCTTAATTGTACTGGCTGTCTCTTTCATTGGTTTTTATTTGTTAGTTACCAGCCACTATAATGGACCGAATGGTGCCGAGCAATGCATCCTACATATCTGACAGAACGAGTTCAGTGGCATCTCATCAAAGAAGGGCAAGTGGCACCACAACAGACTCAAATATTAAGTGGGTGTCAGATGAAGCTGATGCAGCATGGCGTATACGAAACCTTGTATATAGGTAAATTTTGTTATCTTGGCAGTATTTTTGAGGCTTTCATTTATGATTTTAATCACTTTTCTTATCTCATGTATTCATAGTCCGATGGATTTAAATATCATGGAAAAAAAAGCTCTGAAGAATAAGTATAGAAGTCTTGAGCAGTTCCGTGCTGATGCTCAAACTATTGTCCACAACGTTGTTATTTATCATGGAGGTAAGTATTAATTGAGTACATACATCTTATTATGTACACGGCTCATACTGAATGGTCAATCCTTAGAGTCTCAGGGCGGGTTCATTCTAAGATACTCTTGTGCTTTACAAGAATCTTATGCTAGTCTGCTAATCTGAGCATAATCCCGCCTCAATCTAAAGCCCATTGGTATGACAATGTAGCATAATAGCCTTACCTACCTGAATTATTTAACTTCTGTTCTAAGTCACAGAAGACAATTTTTGCTCAGTTTCTTTCCAAAAAAGAGTTTTAAAATTAAATCAAATCAATGCCCAGCCCCATTAAACATCTGATCGTCCAAATCTAGTAATTTTTCCCAGTTTTGCTTGTGCCATCCTCAATGTACTGGTTTGTTTATTAGAAACTCTAAATTATTTGTGTTTGTCTTGATTTATTGCTTTCAAAGATGGAACAAAATCAAGATTGAAACGAGATGCACCTTGGGGTAAGGGTAACATTAGTGGTGACATTTTGACAGGGATTGTGTAGTGGCTTTCTAGGACTACTTTACCTCTTATAGCACTGGTTATTCCGATCCTGATAAAAGCTTGAGCAGTAATTCCCATTTGCTGAACTATGCACACTCAATGCTTATGATCCCCCATTCTCTGCAGTTCTATTTGCTTCAGTTTTGAAGAAACTGAAAACTTTCTCTGTATAGTTTACAAATGTTATGGTGTTGGAGTCTGTGAGTTTATTTAATTGTTACTTTTATTTTGCAGTCCACAGTCCGTTGGCTGACATGGCAAGGCAAATGCTCCGTGATTGTAATTATGATGTTCAAGAAATTAAGCAATGCCGAGATTGCTACAGGATGTCAAATGAGAAGTTGGAACGTCACTGGTTTTGCCAACCCTGTCGCCCACCTCATCAGCTTGTCTATGCTAAACAGAAAAGCTTCCCCTATTGGCCAGCTAAGGTATAATATCAAATTCCTGTGTGTACAGTTACTGAGGCACCAAACCAGTTTTATTTTTTTAAAATATAGATGTTCATTAATCTACATAACATCTTTTTTTGTCAGGTCATTAAAATTGATGGTGACAAGTATGATGTCCGATTTTTTGGGGGACACCACCAGAGAGCTATAATTGAGAAAGCCTTTATTCGTCAAATTTCGGTCAACATTCACACACTTCAAGTATGTTGCTACCATTTGTTTTTGTTGTTTTTGTTTTTTTTAATTTCTTATGGCACTTATGCTTATGTATGATGTGTTTGTTTAAGGTGAAGAAAACGTCCTCCTGGAACAAAGCTTGTGAGGAACTGAAACGTCACCAAACACTTTTGGAGGAAATGAGACGTGCCACTAATGACTTTACCAAGTTTGAATCCTCAGAAGATGAAGATGTAGAAGAAGAAGACGACTCTGAAGAAGAGGAAATATCTAAGGTTGAAAAAGAAAACGGTGACGATGATGATGAAGAAGAAGAGGAGGAAGAAGAGGAGGAGGAGGAAGAACAGGAAGAACCAGAGGACCAAGATCATCGTCTTGCAGTGGATGTGGTAATTACTGTTCCCTTATTCATTTTGTTTTACATTTGATTACCATATCATACTAGTATTATTTTTCACCCTTTTAGACTGCTGCTAAAGAGGAGGAAGATAGTGCTGAAAGTGCCCAAAGTGCTGAAAGTGTACCTGTGCCATCCCCACCCATTGTTGCTGGCCAAGAACCAGTGGTAGAGCCTCCTAAGAAACGGGGTCGTAAGCGAAAACACAAAGAAAACATTGAGAGTGAAAAAACTCTTGAGGAGGATGAAACAATTTCATCGACATCTGTCAAACGAAAGTTAAAGGTTTGCAGTTTGTCTAGTTTTCTGGTATTTCTTCTGCCTGGGGTTCAATAATGAAATGCTTTTTATTTTTTGTTGTTATGTTTAGAGGGATGGAACAGTACAAGAAGATACCACAGTAACTTCCTCTTCTTGTGAAGAACCAATTAACAGATCCTTTGCAACACAGACTAACAAAAAAGCCTCTGTGGTTCCGACAACACTTAGCAAGGAAATTGCTAAAGCTGTTAAAGATGCTTTGGAAAAGGTGAGAAAATGAGTGGTAAAAGATGCAGTGTCTGCGTTCATTTAAATACCTTATATAACTGTAAAAATTTATTGTGGCACCAGAAAACCAAAATAATGATTGAGAAATGATTATCATATGTTTGCAGCAACGACGTGAATTTGATGAAGAAAAAGCGGAAATGGAGGAAGAACGTGCAAAAGCTGTGGCAAATGCAGTGAGAAGCTTAGAGCAAGATTTGGCACGTATGCAAACCGAACATTCAGAAGTTATTGCTGACTTGGAAGACAAACACAGAGCTACGATATCAGAAGTTAAAAAGAAACAATGGGTGAGTGTAGGCAGTGTTGCACTGCTGTTATCAGATTTGAAACTTGCTGTACAATATTTCCAACATTTATTTTGTTTGTTTGTTAATTATGTAGTGCTACAACTGCGAACTGGAAGCAATCTACCACTGCTGCTGGAATACTGCATACTGCAGCATTGACTGTCAGCAAACACACTGGCAGAAAGAACATAAGAAAGTGTGCAGAAGGAAGCGTTAGACTCATAGCACTATTATGCAAACTAAAGTGTACCTGAGTTCAAGGCGTCTTGTTTGCTTTCGACAAATATTGTTATTAAATTTATTTTGTGATCTCTTCATACTACAGTGTTGGTACCAACTGAGTTATTTTACATGAATCATCAGACATAGTTTTTTCACACATTGCCTGTACAAATCTTTGGCCTTTGCAGTGAGCAGTGAGGAGTTTGCTTAAATTAGTTTCACTCATAAGACTATCATTATGATCATGTACCATGTAGACCATGCAGACTGTCGTTTGATCTGCACAAGATTTCCCCCCCTACTTCAAAGACATTGTTTGCTCTTGAAGAGATGGTAGATTTTCTCTAGTGGAGGCAAGGATTTTACTAACAAACCTAAGCATAATTTTTCGTTGTGTTAACTGATTTTAGTAAATCCAAATCAGTAGTGCTCACTTGTATCATTTGTTATGGTTTTATTTTGCTGCTTTTTGAATGTATATAAATTAAACTTAAGCCTTTTTAAGAAAGCTTCTCCTCATGTATAAAGTATAAAGAAATTCTGATCCCCATCTTGTTTATTATTTCATAATTATATTCCTACTAACTTGATAGCATAGTAATATACTATTTTTCAAAGAATTAGTGTATCTTTGTTTAGTCTTTAATAATTTTCTGCTGTGCTAGTGTTTTTTTTTTTTTTAATCATCCCCTTTTTTTTATTTCTTTGCTACCTTGTCTAATGATGATGAGGAGCTCAAAGTCAAAGAATTCATACTTCTGTGCGATTGATGTGTGTCAATCCTCCACGCCAGACTGTCATGGAGGCAGGTGAAAATGTCCTACTTTGAAGTTGTGTTTCCAAGAATATATGCCTCTTGGACATTTTGTTTGTAGCGTTTTTCCTAGTTTTCATTTCTATTTTCATTCTGATGTTCCTGTTCATTGTAGAAATTTCATAAATGCTGTACCATTTACCCAACCAAAACATGTGAATTTTGGTTGGATGGTAGTTTAAGAACCAAGTTTTAATGGTCTCCAAAATAATTGTAGCCCATTTCTCTTTTCCTTTTTTTTTTTTTTTTTGAGGGGGAGGGAGGGGAGGGGGTAAATGATGTGCTGTTTGGGTGTCAAATTGGTATAATCTACACAACTTTTTCCTTTGTTGGAATGCGGGCATCTTGACAGATCAAGGATCGTTCCTTATGTAAATATGTTTCATTACCTTGGTTGTACTAGTTGCTCTTTGAGTACGAACATACTGTCAAGCTCATGCATGTGAAGAAAGAATCTATATACTCTACAAATCGAAGAGCGTACATCGTATGCTCTAACTGGAGCATGCCTGCAAGCACGCTCTAGCTAGCGCATGCCTGCCAAGCATGCCCTTACTAGTGCATGTACACGCTAACTGAAGCATGCATCTAGTGCATAAGGGATGGGGAGTTGCCTGCATCAGGAAGCGTGTACATGGCATGTATGCAATAGTAAGTGCATGCTTGGCAGGCATGCACTAGCTGGAGCGTGCTTGCAGGGTAGGCATGCTCCAGTTAGAGCATACAATGTACGCTCTTCGATTTGTAGAGTAGAGAGCTGTATTGTTTGAATAGTATGCCATTTTGTTTTTAAGTTGTTTCTTTGTATTGTTTTGTCTGAAAATTTTATTGTGAATCTTGCAACTATGTAATTTCAAATTTCATCCTTAAAACTTCATCATCTTTCTGCATGAAAATTTCTAATGAAAAGCTACAAGATGCTTAGTGCCGAATTTCAACTCAACGGACTTGACTGTGGTGTAGTCTAGAAGAAAGGGAGACTTCTTAAATGACTTTATGAGGAAGTCTTGTAACTTGTGTAGCAAGACGCAAGTTGTCTTGTAGAAGGGGAGAGGTTTTTGTTTTCGGCCTTGAAAATTTGTACTTGCAATCAAAATTATTATCTAGTTAAAAGATATAAACTCTGTGATTTCATATATATGTTTTTTTACATAGTCAACCGTGTGGTTCTTGCATGATGGGCTGCTTTTTCATAAATAGTTTGCCTAGCACCTTTGCTTTATTCCTTCCATTCCTTCTCATGTTCCTAACTTCTGCTGATTGCTAGTCACTACAAACTCCGCACAGCTTTTATATCCCTTTTCCAAGGTTTGGCTGACATTTTGGATTTCAGAACACTTTATTTGCTTTTCTGTTGATCTCCGATTACCTTCTTTCCAATTGTTATTTTAATTGTAGTCGCCTACCTGTAGTAAGTTTTAGCTGTTCTGTAAGTCTAAATCTTCCTTTCAGAAATTTTTGTCCAATTTATATTTAGGTCATGTTGTCATGCCTCATTTTCTTCCAAAGGTTATTATGCAATGTTCTTCTTTCCATTATTTATTTTATATTATAGTTTATTTTAGTTTGCAGTTGAAAATGAAAGGGTTCTAGTTACTTCCTTGAGGATTTCCTTTAGTTTTATGATCCTCTGATATGGCTGACCACTCACATAGATCTATTTTATCCTCACAACTCGGGAATCATCTGTATAGTGTACTTAGTTAGCACAAATAACTAATGACTTGCATCGTCCAATATCTGTCACATTTTTCTGGTGTTGCATTGCTCGATGGTGCAGCTTTCGAAGGTTCATGAGTACTAACTGGGCCATGGACTACCTACAGGACATCTACAGTCCATTTGCACCATTTTTGAGAATATAGTTCTGAAGGCTGAGTAGTAGTTATTCTTCTCTATTTTTATTTCATTTTTCTTAATTGAGCTTTACTCTAATTTCAGCTTCTGTATATGAGATGAGGTTAAGGGAATATTTTCTGAATAGTTTAGTATGTATATACAAATTATTGTATTTTATGGACCATATATAGGAAGAATTCGAATGTTGAGCCTACTACCTATACCTAGTCTAGATATTAATTTTCATTTTCTGGAAAACGATGAGAAATAATAGCAAAATTGTACTTGCACTATTATATGATTGCATCTGCAGGTAGGCCATACAAATCTTTGGTTGTTGATGTTTCAGAATGTGTCCTGTTTATGTTATGGCAGAGCTACCTTGCAACACTTTGCTTTATTATTAAAAATTCATCTCCACTGTTAGATCCAGTGACTGCATTTTAAAAATTATTGTTAAAAGGTGGTGCTGATTATGTAATATATTTCAAATAAAAAAGTTACCTTTTCAATGAGTGTTTCCAGAACTTAAAATTTGTGTAGGTGTACCTAGAGTCCTCCATTGCTATGAGATGTTACTGTTTATATTATCAAACGTTAACTCCGATGCCATCGCCAAAGAAACTTTAGTATGTTGCGATGTGATGAGACATTCCAACCCATAATACACAGCCTCATCTCTTAACCAATAAACTCACACCAATGTTGCGTGGGCGAAAGGCGAAGGAACACAACACAATTTGAAGAAGACCCATTCAGGACAACATTTAATTGTTAAATTTATTATTACATATAGTCAAATTCCACTTAAAACCAGGTTCGTTCTTTTTCTGCAGCTTCTCTTCTTTCTGAAAGACTTTATGACTTTAAGTCTCAGAGAATAGCATTTCAAGCTCTTGCCTTTTTACTGATGGTAGTTCACTGGTTGAATAAACTCGGTAGCACGAGAACCGAAATGAATAGTACCAAATCTAGTAGGTTCTTAATTTGATCGGCACTTTCCAGAAGAGACATGACATCCCAGGACCTGCATGTACTGTGTATTGAAGTTTGCAGTTGCAAGTTCCCTACTGTATGAAATCACACCGAGTCAAATACTTGTTCTTCATCCCATAGTAAGAGTACATTTTTGAAAAATGGCATTAACTGAAGGAATAGTCTTAGGATAAAGACCAGTAGTTAAATTATTGTAACAATTAATAGTACAATATTAACTCCAATGATTTTTCCAATTTTTGCTATGTCATTATTTAAACACAACACGTTATTAACAGTACACACCTAGCAAGGTTTTTCCTTCTGGGGATGCCTTGCAATGACATTGATAATTTTTTACTTTATAACGGTATGTTAGCAATCCCTGATACACGTGCAATGATCGATAGAGACAATACATCACTATTGATGAAGGCACTTCTTGTACACCCATTAATTTGACTGATACTCCTAGACAGTAAGATAATACATAACACAGTAAAAATAAAATGAATTCCCTATTTATACAGGAATATACGGGTGATGGCCTCAAAGATCAAAATAGAAGAGCAGGCTCAAAAGGTAACAAGTAATAGTTGCAATAGTTGCAGCTACAAGAAATAGCAAGCAGAACAGAGATTTGTCCTCTGCACACCTATATCTTAAAAGCTACTTAAGATATTGAGAGGAAAAGAAAAGAATCTTTTCCACAAAATAAATCTTACAAAATTCAAAATTAATTTTACAATTACTATGACTGAACTCTAAAGGCTGTTCACTCACAGATTGACTAGCATTTTTGCTCCAATTCTGACTAAGTCAAGCGGATACATATATTTATATATACTTTGCATATGGACAATAATGAGATAATGGAGATTCAACATTAGAGCAGTCTACTCAGTTTTCAACTGCTCAAATAAACCTACCCATTTTATCACATTTCACTATTTGCCCATAACAGATAAAATTAATACATTTTTAACCTCATCATAAAGATTTGTACAAGCTGCTATGAATTTATCAGCACAAAGCAACATGGAAAAAAAAGAAACTTCACTGAGCATTTTTCTCCCGGCACCAGAGAACTATGATGATGATGAGTTATGTGTAGAAATACTTCCACAATTCCACAGCATGCCCAGTACTAACATTTGTTCATCTTCCCTACCTTCATGTTTATATATCAGATGGGGGGATTATATGGATTTCAACCTGAAAATGAAAAGTGAAATATAAGTCCAAACCTGCATTTAATTTAAAGTGGATACAAAAAAATTAGGTTTGAACAAAATTTACCTAAGACACTTACTGGATCAATTTCAATAGGCTGATTTTCTGAAGACTGGTTTGATTCATGTTCCACCATTTTCAGAATAGACTGACAAATGTCTTTGACTATCTCATCTGAACTCAAGTCGAGCATCTCTTGAAGAATTGAATTACCTCCCTCCTGCACCAGCATCATACAATATCGTTTTGCTGGAAAAAGAAGAAATAGAAGGATGGTAATTTAATAAGATATGCAAGAAGAGCTGTAATTTAGGCCATAACTGTTCAGATCCAGCTGTGATTGAAGTAATACCATTTTTGGAACAAACGTGATGAATGGCCCAGGCAGCCCACAATTGTACTTGGGAAGCTTCATAACATTTGAGGAGAGGAAAGAAAGGAATAAATGATCTGTATGCCACCATTTCACTGCTTGGTGTTTTCCACTTAAGGACAACTTGACCCTATAAACAATACAAAATTGTAGGAAAAGAGAACAGAGAGCACAATACTGCTATATAAACAAAGATCAGACACTGGGCTATTTTAGAAGAAAAGAATACAACAGAGTAATGCAGCATTTACCAAGTCCTGTAGCATTTCTTCTCTTTTCACACTGTCTACAATCCAAACTGCGGGACCATCACTGCTCAGGTGAGCAATGATACCTGCACTAAAATAGCTCACATCAATGTGCCTGGAGTGAAGCAACTTCCTGTAAGAAAAAGATGCAACAATTTGATGAGCATGTTTCCATACAACCATATTACTGATTTGTACAGACAGGAAGGTGGGGAGGTTACCTTAATGCTTCAATGAAACTGGAACACATTAGGTTTGAGCGTAGCTCTGGAACCTCAGCAATGTTATTCAATAGCCCAAGAACCTTTGTCTCAATGGAAGTTTCTTGTTCATACACACTGAGCATGGATAAGAACAAATCAAGTCCTCGCTCCTCCAAAAACATGTGGCACGTTGCAGGAGACTCATCTGTCCAAACAAAAGAAAATTCAAATTGAAGAAGGTAAAGAAAAGAAAACAATATGAGGGCAATAAAAAATATTCAAACCTGTAAGATTCCACAGAGCACTTAAAGTGAACTTCATTGTGATGTCACTTGTTTTTGTTGCCATGCGAGCTTCTACCATTGTGAGTAGTTTCCGCATGTATTTAGGCTGTGCACCCAGTAAGGAGGAATCACGAGTAGAAATCTTAGCAGCTGAGGATACACATCACAACACATTACATTTAAGGTTAAAAAAATGTAAGGGAATACAACATGAGACAATCTTTTTTTTTTTACCTAGTACACTGCAGATTGCTACACTCATTCTATTAACAGCTGCCTCGTTAAATGCACAAAGGCTGTCTAATACCAGCCTTGCACAGCGATACTTGTCAAAGCTAATATCATGAAGAATTCTATCACTGCATAAGGTCAACAAAGTGTTTTTCTGAAGCTGTAAAGCACATAACAGACGTTATTCATAAGCACTGTACATGTGAAGATATGGGAAACTAAGATAAATTCCCAACAGAATGTTGATGCGTGCTTACTTGAAAATGGCTCGGGAATGTTTCCATTGCATCTAGCGATAACTCTACTACATCTCTGAGAATAGATGGGTGGACTCTATTGGCCAATTCTCCTTTTGTTAAATTATATAGACAAGCAGTGGCAGCCATTTGAATGCCATATTGCCCTTGATGTAGTCTCATGCCTCGCACAACCAGCTGGGGGAAAAATTCACAGTAGTTATGGACTGAGATAGAGACAAAATTACATTAGAATTAGTATTTTGATGACTCTGATATACTAACCTTTATAAGATCTGACCTTGTCTCTCTATACAAATTTGTAATTCTGAATAGATTGAGGAGACATTTTTGCAAAAATATTGGGCGGTGAGGATACCTTTCAAGACCTTCCATCACTTGCTTCTCAGATGCCAGGCCAGTGACCTGTTACAGCAAGAGAAAATTGCTCATTTAAAAGGAAACAAAAACAACACACCAATAGCAATAAATCACATACTAACCACAAGATCCTGTCTGTAGTGGGGATGGTCTGGGTTTACATACATCTGATCATAACAGGCATTGAGATACATCAAGCCTAAAAATGTCATATTAGGATGGGCCAAGACAAAATCCCTCAATGCATCTTCGTCAACTCTCTCTGCTCCTGATACAGAGAAATACAGAGAGAGGATTAATTGAGATAATAATCACATTTTAACTTCCATGATAAGACCGTGCTCTAATTTATTAAAAATGTAAATGTACCTGAAATGTCTAGATACTGTAGATGAGGAAGACATTCAGGTTTGAATAAATCTGAAATACTTGAGGGGTTAGGTTCCAACAAATCAAATGGATGTCGATCCTGCTCGTCTGAAATATCCAAATGCTGAAGTTGGTGTAGTTCCAGCAGGATTCGAACAACACTCTCCTGGTGAGATACCTTGAAGACACAGTCTCTAGATTAGTCAAGCACTCTGCTTAAATTACTGGATTTAAGTGGGTTAAAATTTGAACTGCATACCTTAAGGTTATACATGTATAATGATTTTAATCTATCACGACATTTTCTTAGGGAGGATATATCTGAAACCTGAGTTCCAGATATGTTGAGAACTTCTAAGTGAGGTAAATCCTCAATAACTATTTCAAGTCCATGACTGTTGAATTCTGTACAGGCTACATTAAGAGATTGAAGGTTCTGAAGCTTAGAGAGACCAACCACAACACAATACCTGTAATGAAGCTCACTTTTAGCAAAACGATAAAAGATAATAAAAGACATCATTTAGAAAACGTTTACTTCAAAAATACAGTTTAAATTTAAACTGACTTTGAACCAGCCATGAAGGTAGATCGAGCAACATTTAAAGATCGCAAGTTTTGCAGGGTCCACTCTCCGAGACACCCAATCAAGTCATTCACAGAAACAGTTAAACCGATGGCCTCTAAACTCCTGATTTTGTGACCTTTTAACATTCTCAGTCCCTTTGTTGTCAGTTTTCCTGCTTTCCGCATACGCACATTTCTGCAAGGGAATTTGTTTCAATAGTAAGCCAGTGCCTTGTAGAGTCGAAAACACAGCAATATACGTATTAAAGCTTTAAAACTCACCTTAATGTTGCTATGTTTGAGTCAAATAAAGTCATTGTCAAATCTTTTAACTTCCCCTTTTCGCTAAGTTGCTCAAGCAGTCGGTCGGAAATCCCAGGTGGCAAGACTGAATCATCTTTCAGAGTCAGCTTCTCTTCTTTATGGCACTCTGGCTTATCACTACCATCCGCAGGAGGCGAAAGGGTCATTAATGGTGTAACCTGGTTTGGTTGCAGAGAACAAGTACATTAGTAAAAAGTAAAACACAACAAAAGCAGAAAAATTGATAGCATGGTTAACAAACCTCGCATAAGGCCTCCAAATTTTCACATATAAAGTCAACGCACGCTTCTTCCAAAGATATCGGTGAATTGTACATCTTGAAAGTCTTTGCTTTGCTCAATTCACAGAAAAAATGAAGCTGACAGGAGGGAAAAAGTTTGATGGCTAGTTAATAAATGAACAGGCCTAATGACAGGGCAGGCTAAATTGTAAATGTTGCTTTGACAAAAAAATCTCCACATTTGGCACACAATATTTTTAAGCTGAGTTTTTAAAAAAATGTTGCTGGAGAAAGAACGATTTCATGATCAAGGTGCACTGGCACAGCATGATCCTGCAATAACAACCTTGTAACCATTTACTTCAAGCAGACATTATTAAAAAATTCATGTTTTGGAGATTTTTTTTCCATATCTAAAACGTCGATAGAGAGCGAACATGTGAATGGTACACAGCGACGAGGTTCAACTGTGTCATGGTTAAACGGGTGTGCGAAAGGAGTGCAATTATGTAATTTGGGACGAAATATTACCTCATAACAGGTTCTGCGGGTTGCAAGGACCTTTCATACTACACGAGTAGAGGTTAGTGTCATCCGTTGGTCAACACAGGGGCGCAACGGCTTGAACACAGCTGAAACTAGAGAGGAAAAATGGGAAATAAGTCATACAGACGAATGACAACACCAAACCTTTGTTTAAGGTAAGAAAACTAACAAAAAATATTGGAGCTTCAGAGCTGCATCTTAGCCCTTGAGTAAACAACTGCATAGCGCACATCACCGCCCAACCTGACAGGCAGACAGGCACAAGGCAGAGAGGAAGTGGAGCTTCGGGGAGAGATTGGGGCGGCGGTAGGCGGTAGGGGGTGTAAGCTAGTTCGCCAGTCCGCCGCCCAGAGCGCTGCAGTTGCAGTTGCCGCGGGATACTTCGAAGCACATCGCTTGGCAGCACAACACCAAGGCCGGGGAGGGGTTTAGGTCACAGCAGACTGCAGAGTGAGTTGACTACGTCAAAACCTGAGAGCTACGATAGCATGTAATTGGTTTTTGGTTGAGGTAGGATACGTTTGACGGAAAGGAGACAAAGAAAACTAGAAGTTTAATAACAGCTGTTTAATGATTTGTCATAGCATTTTACAGTTATATAGCGTACAACCATATGGCTAACAATTCATAAGTATTCTTTTTTTAGTTCAGATTTGCGAGATCTTCTATCAGTTTTGACAACATTGTTTTTATTATTATTTTTTGATGACTCGAAACTTAATTTGAGAAAGTTCATTCACAATAAGCTATACAAAATAGAATCAAACACTCAATACTGGACGTCTTACATAAGTGGTTGCAGAAAATTACTCAAACTTAGAACTACGTCGATATTGAATGAATGAACATGCAACGATCATGCCTGCCTGCTGCGGCCACGTGACCATGCTGCCAGCACAGCTTTCAACAAAATTGTCTCACCAACTATAAATTCGGTAATATTAAGTTAAGCTACAAGTAACGTTTTTGAGGCTTTCAAAAAATTCCAATTTATTGGCTAAATTTATTGAGCATTACGACCAATCTGGTCCATGGATAGCGAAAATATAAGTCCTAGTCGGTAAGTTGAATCCTCTTCCGTGCCATTTCATGGAAGCAATGTTAAAATTTTATTCGTCGGGGGAATGGCAATGTCTCGTGCTGAGCAACGTGTAATTTTTCTCTTGACGTGTGACGGGTGACCTCAAAATGGAACCACGATGTGACATTACACTGTTAATCTTTGACGCCGCCATGTGTTTTGTGCTGGCAGGGCAGGCAGGGCAGGCAGGGCTTGCAGGGCAGGCTCAGGGTGACCCTGACAGGGTCGGGCACTGGCCGCGGCCGCGGTGGATGCGACTGCCTGGGCGTGCCTGGGTCCCCGGACTCGAAGCTAGTTCACAGTTCTGAGTTGAGAGTGGTGGAAGCGGGAGACCAGAACACAGAAAGCAAACCCTGTCCATCATGTTTTGAAGACTCCAGCGACCGGTTCCGAGAATCACTAAAGCCTGGCGGTCTTCACTGCGTGGGCCGTTTAGTTTAAACAATACTAACACATTAAAGCAAAACTGCTTATCGTGACTGTTACACAGATTTGAAGTAGGTATTTACAGTGTGCTACCCGAGGAGAAATCACCTGGCCATTGCAACAACAGACTGTTGTGATCCTATTTTTGAGCCAAGTGAACATGGAAAAGTCAAAGCCGTTTGTCCATGCTAGCTCGTCCGGAGTGACTTGTCCCCGAGTAGGATGCAACATAAAATAGACAATTACAAGGAGTGCGCGCCACCATGCCGCACGCTAAAAGCACTTCGAAATATAGGCTGCCAGGAATGTGACGGCTTCGTTAAAGTCCCCCTTCACATGTCGCCTTCCTCATACTTGTAGTAAACGCATCAAACGATCACATAATTTATTTATTGCGTTTTGTTAAATTTATCACAGAAGAAAACAGGAGTAGCAACTTGACTAGAGCAGTCCGTGAACAAGCTTAAAATGGTACCGAATCGGACTTGCCGCTGTTGCTTGTTGTGACAATCAAAACGCACTGGAAGGTCGTCACGGAAAACGACAAACTCACGCTTGTATCATTTTTCCACTGTAGCGACACTGTGCGCGAATTTTGAGTAAAATATCAGCTACAGCTGTAGGCCATCACAACAAATGCATTATTTCTTTCATGATTCAAAGTATAATTACATAATATTTCCTGTATGATTGATCGTCTTTTTTTGCATGGAAGAACGGTAGTCAACAGCTATAGATATTGAATAGAAGTCAGGTAACATCGTTCGAGAAACACAAAACACGATAAGTGACAGAAAATCCATACCTCTGCTAGAAACGGAACCAAACAAAAAATGCTGCCCTACAAGCAGTCGATTTTTACTTTAGCAGGCAGACTGAGCTAATGAACCAATCTATACACTAGATGGAAACAACTACAAAACGAGTATTTTAGGTAAGGAAAGAAGAAAATAGCAGAAGTACAAAAGAGTATTTTATCCTACGTACTAACATCGGCGTTTCGGCTTTGATGCTCTCTTTGGATTTCATTTGTTTCCAATTTAAGTTTCAATATTATTTTTGAGGTCAACCGACAAGTATAACCCACTGCCCCAGTGTAAGGTGCTACATCGAATTGACACATCGATTTTGCGACGGAAGTTTGCACCGTCTGACTAGAGTAATTTGGGCTCACAGATCGGCATCGATGGAGTCGTCGTATCAACGTTTTTCGGAGCACCATTTTTTGCTGTGTATAGGGGAGGGCGCCTATAGCATCTCAACTGCGGTTAACCAAAACAGTCAAAGTCGAGCTTTGTGCGAAGTCGGAAAGCGTTGAGCAAGGGCGGGAAAGAACTTCCCGTGGTGGTGCCGGTGAACCAGGCGTCACTACCAACAACCAACTAGTCGATCGTCTTAACCGTGAAGAGTATTTCTGGCACATTCAAAGACACTAGAGGAAAGGTGGATGAGGTGCGAGAAGTTACATACTTGTGCAGAGACATCAAAATGTGAGTACCAAAAACAAGTACCCGGCATGGATGTTAAAAAATATTCGGACCAAATGGGCCATCAAACTATCTTACAGCGAGCAGGCGTACAAAATTGACGGTTTCCTTAAGAATAAGAAATCTCTTTGGATTGGTAAGTGGCGAGAAACCACATGGGATAGGAAAACGGTTTTACTTCACAATCTTGGGTAGACGTTGTGTCATCGCACAAAGATTTTTTTCAAAGGAACACGGGTTTAGCATTATAAGTTAAAAATGAATTTTGAAAGTTTTCTTATCATATTAAAAAACGCGAGTAACAATATTGAGAGTTTTAAAACGAGATGATTATTATTACCCATTCTGAAACCGGTCCCGCAACGGGCCGTCGGGTTCAGACTTGCAAACAACCGGCATCATGGTTTATGAATAAAAAATAAAAGAAAAGGGGCCTCTCTGGGGCACCTTGTGGCAATAACCACTAACACACACGCACGCACACACACTCACGGCCCTTTGAGAAGCAAGGGCCTGCTCTGCGCGATGCGCGCTCGGCGCCGCTCTGCGCCGCTCTGCGCAGTGCGGAAGCAGAATGTATGTACAAGGCGCAGCATGCCTCTGCCACACCGTTCCTCGAGTCGAGGGTTCGAGCCCGGACAGTGCCTTCGGCCCTCGCTGTCTTGGCCGGCCTCAGCCCGAACGCCGTCTCAGAACTTTGCGCCGAGTCTTACAATTAAATATGGAATATACAAGTGCAGCACTTCCATCCCGTCGGAGCATCGGACACAGAGGAGCTCCTCTCACACAGACACATGACGCGCGCACACACACACACTCACATACATACAAACACACACACTCGCACTGAGGTACAGCGGCAGCCCTTCCCACAGTGTCGCAGCAGAAACAACAACATCAACAAGAGAGTAAAAATATAATGTATGGTACATTCAGTGGTGAAGAGTGCCACCCGAGGTGAGAGGGGGCGGCGTGGCAGCGAGGCCTCCAAGGCGAGGCCTTCAAGGCGATGCCTCCAAGGCGAGGCGGCGGCCCCGAAGCGAGCCTCGCCCTGCAGGGCCTGCACGAGGCATGCCCGATGCAGGAAAAAGTCTCTTTGAGGCAGTCTCGCAGCCGAGGGAGCCCCGAGGGAAGGGATCCCCTATCCGCCTATGTGGAGGGGTCGCCGCCGAGCGACAGGGCCTGCACGATGCGCGGATCCGCCTTGGAGCCCTCCCGGAACTCGTCCAGGGTCAGGCGGTCGTCGTGGTTCGTGTCCATCTGGTCGAAGATCTTGTCCACCCTCTTCTGCGGCGTGTTCTCGTCCTCCGCCGTCGGCTGCTGGCCCTGCAGGAGAAGCAGCCCGTTAGTCAGGTGCACTGTGCACTGGCATGCCAGCACGGAGTGGTGCGGAGCGGAGCGCCTGCGGGCCAGCCCGCCCGACACGGCCGTCGTGGGGTTGCCTACGCCGCGCTCCGCAGGCGCTCTCGCCCAGGCCGGTGCATAGCTTGACGTCGAGTACGTACCACCATCTGGTATATCGCGTCCACTATGTTGTACATCTCCTCGCGCGTGATGAAGCCGTCGTTGTCCACGTCGTACAGCCGGAACGCCCCTGCAAAGCGAAAAATCCGTCAGTTTTCTGTTTCCGTGCCAGGCGGGGAAGGGGCATGGCGAGTGCGTGCGAGTGGGAGAGAGAAAGAGAGGGCGTCTTGGCGGGTCGTCAAGCAGTCGTGATGCGATTTGGGGGTCAGCAGAACGAAGGCCGCGCTGTGCGGGGACAGTCGCCGTCTCCCTCACACCCCGCCCCGCCGGCCCCTACCGGCCCCTACCGGCCCCTACCGGCCCCTACCGGCCCCTACCGGCCCCTACCGGCCCCTACCGGCCCCTACCGGCCCCTACCGGCCCCTACCGGCCCCTACCGGCCCCTACCGGCCCCTACCGGCCCTTGTTCGTTGACGTCCCGCAGTCGCGCAGTCCCACGGGAGCTCGCTGACATTAGCGTATCGACCCGATGACGTGAATACGAACGTCGTCTGCTCAATCAGAAAGGGGGGGGGGGAGCGGCTTGCGGCGTAAAGTGGTGCAATGCCGTAAATCTGAATGGAGTCGCTCGAACACAGCCGGCCGGCGACGCAACGGTGGACCCGCACACCGAGCCCGATAAAAAAAATAAATCATGCTGCAATTGAACCCTGTCAACGGCGGAGTTCATTGGAAACTTTCATTGCAGTGCGCGCGATAATTCTGAGCCAGAGAACACTTTGCCGGCACTTTGGTCCAACACTCACTTCTTACACTTTTTTTTCTTAACCGGGCCTGCGCCCCGAGCCTGCCCGAGCCCAAGGTTACTTTGATACCCAGCAGGCTTCCAGACAGGCGTCGCGGGGGAGGGGGAGGGGAGGGGGGGGAGGGGAGGGGGAGGGGGAGGGGGAGGGGGGGGGAGGGGAGTCCCTCCACAGGACCCGCAGCCAATCCGCCACGCCCCGCCACGCCCGACCCGTCCCCGAGCAGCTCGGGCTGACCCAAAGTTATGAATATTCTGCTCAGCATTTGCAGAACGGGGTCATAAACAACAACAGATACTGGCGTGCCAGGCGCGCTAGGCGGGGCGGCGACCGAAGTGTACCGAAGTGTACCGAAGTGGCCCGCGGAGCGAACGCGGCCGCCTCGGGGAATCCAAATCGACACGCTCCCAAAATAAACAAGTTCGTATCATTTTCCCGCGGCATTTTTGCCTCTTTATGTTTTCAGAATATTTCCGCAAAGGTGGCTGACGCGACGGTTTTTTTTTCTGTGTTCGAATTGGGTGGAGGCGGGGAAGGAGGCACAGTGGCGGACGCGGGCACTGGGAAAAGAGGTGGGGGGAAGACACACAGGGCCAGGGACGGCTGTAGTTGGAGATTAATTGTAGTATGCAAATGCGATTCCTGCACACTGGTCTGCACAGCATCTTGTGGACATTCGTGGCGTGCGGACGGGCGGACGGGCTGAGCGGCTGTACATTCATGGCCTGGTCGCCCACAGCGTGCCTACAGTGTGCCTACAGCAAGGGGTCCCCAACCGGCGAAAATCGGTGTACACGGGTGAAAAAGTCATTAAAAAAGTCACTAAAAGTCAAAAAAGTCAAAAAGTCACAAAAGTCAAAAAGTAACAGAAAAACCACTATAAAGTATCCAAAAAGTCACGAAACAGCCTTTAAAAATGCCAAATTTCAATGAACTCTGGTGGAAAAGTAACTTTTTAAGTCAAAAAAGTCATTTAAAGGTCAAAAAGTCATTTAAAAGTCAAAAAGTCATTAAAACGTGTGAAAGTGAAAATAGTTCCAAGGCAAAACAGTCGCAAAAAGTCAGAAAAGATACTCAAAAAAGTCACAAAAAAGTCAAAAAACAATCAAAAAGTCACAAAAAAGTCAAAAAAGTCAGTTTTGACTTTAAGTCAGTGTACGCTCGCCGGCTCGGTTGGGGACCCCTTGGCCTACAGCGACCGGAGCGGAGGAAAACTTGGACGCGAAGGCCGCGCTAACTACGGGAGGAGAGTCATCTCATGACAATTTGGATGAGGGACTGCAACCATGCGGTGGGACATTCCCGCCCAAATTGGGTGAGGAAAGTTTTCCACCCAAATTTGGGTCATAATACTATGAGTTGATAGGGAGCTGATACACCCTTCCTCACCCAAATTGGGCGAGGAATGTTTCCTCACCAATCGGGCGAGGAAACATTCCTCGCCCAAATTTGGGCGAGAAAGTAAACCTCGCCCAAAATTGGGTATTGATCATGACTTTTTCATTCTCAGTGCGGGCCGGGCCTGCCTGCCACACTGGCTGGCTTATTCGCACCCGCGCCTCGCTGCACTGCCTCGCTGCCCCGCCGTCCTGCCCTGTGCTGCTAGTGCTGCTAGTGCCGCTAGTGCTGCTGAATAAGAGAAACTAATTCGCGTGTCCGAGGCGATGCCGCTTGTGCGACGAAGGACTCGGATGAATAAACAAAAGAGTGACGATCGTGGGAGACGCAGCGACGCGAGGGCCGGCGGGGCCGGGGGGCGGAGGGAGGGAGGGGGCGAGAGAGAGACGGCAAAAAGCAAACGAGAGAGACGAACATAAAGCGCGAAATGGCGCGACATCCGCCGCAGTGCCGATTCGATGCGCCTGAGCAACGCCAAGCAAGCTGCACTGCTGCACTGGGGGGAGGAGGAGGGGAGCTCACTTTACAGCCTTGAAACCACGTCGCTGGAAAAAATGGACCAGAGGGGACTGCAAACTACGTGACCGGTCTTGACTCTCCACGACGAGAGGGGAAAAAAAGGAGGGAGAAGGGACTCTTCAAACAAACCCGTGCGGGTCTGCTCCGCGCAACGCTCCGCGAGCTTGATTCGAGAACCGAGCTGGAGTTTATTCCCGCCAAGGCGTACTTCCTAAAAAAAGGGGGGTACTTACAATGGAGTTTTTCGTCTAGGTTTCCTCTTGACGTCACGGATAATGCACGGATAAATTCTTCGAACTCGATCGAGCCATCCTGCGGCATAAAAACAAACCGTCTCGCATTTCCGCCACCGGGAGTGAATGAAAGCCACGAGGGCAATGAAGCGGTCAAAACAATTTAAAGTGCACTTACGTTATTTTCGTCGAACACTTTGAAGACCAGCGACGCAAACTTTGTAGGATCCCCTTGAGGGAAGAACTGTTTATAAATCTTGATAAAGCCCTGCAACAGAGAGAGACAGAGGAAAGCGTGTTAGAATAAGCAGACGAGCCAGCCAGGCGCGATTTCCGTCTCTCCTCCTCTCTCGCCGCCTCACTGGAACTTTTTTGTTCTGCCTGTCCGTACTCGCTGCGCTTCGCTGCGGCGTGTGGGGATTGGTGGGCATCGGCTGCCACGGAGAGGAACCGAGAGGAGGGCGTCGTCGCTCGCGCCTCTCGCTGCACAGTGGGCCAGAAGACCGGTGGAGGCGGACAAAATTCGAGACGCGTTTTGAGCTCCAGAGTCGCTGAATGGGACTCAAATCGAACGTGTGACCCCACCTACGGGTTCCTCGTTCGAAGAGCTATCCATTGGTGGGGTCACACGTCGGGTTTGAGTCCTGTTTAGCGACTCTGGAGCTCAAAACGCGTCTCGAATTTTGGCCGCCTCCGCCGGTCTTCCGGCCCACTGCGCGCTAGCCTCGCGCTGCCCCGCGTTCACCGAGGCGAGGCGAGAAACGTCCCGTTGGGACGCGGGCAGCGCCACTGTTAAAATTAAAAATGCAAGTCGAGGGCCGAGGGGGCGGCGGCGAAACGGGGGCGCAGGTACCGTTTGCAAGGCGGCAAGGCAAGGCGGGGGCGGCGTGGGCCACAATGGTCCGGTCAAGGAGTCAGGCCGGCCGCGGTGCCGCGGCGGGCGCGGGGAGGGTGCAATTAATCACTCGGCCTGACAAATGAAGTGTCATCACAGCACGGCGCCTCCACGGCCCGAGCGCGGCCCGGCCGAGGCCCGGCCCAATCCACTGCCGCCCACCTAGTGGGGAGGCCCGGGCAGGGCCCCGGCGGGGAGGGGCGGGGTGCTTCAGAAAATGTTACGACTTCTCTGACATTTTCGTCCGTTTGGTGGGGTCGGTGGGGAGGGGGTGGGGCGGGGTGGGGCTGAACTGCCGGACTACTGTCTTGTTGTTCACGACGCTGGCGACGACGTCAGCGGCCCAGCCGGGGAAAGGGCCGTGTGGGTAGCAGTCCTTTCTACTGTTTTATCCCCACCCAAAAAATCAGTTTCTCGAACCAAGAAAACGCTCTCACAGTAAGTGAATTTACTTGAAGTAATGAAGTACATTCACTTGATGCAAGCGTCAGTTGGTTCCGGGGAAGGCCTTTCTTTGAACGCGCTTGCTGGGCGGGCCGTGCGCGCCGTTTCCTCGTTGCCGCTGTCTTTCTGCTGTCTTGCCGGGAGAGCTGGAAGCGGCTGGAAGGCACGGAGAGCGACGGGGCGGACCTTTCAAGTCGCCAATCGACTCCGGTACACTGAGCGAGAACGCAACCAGCGCCGCCAGCGCCGCCAGCAAGCCGGCAGGTTGGCCAAGCAGTATTGTCGGGCGATGCGTCAGCATGCGACAGTGGGACAAAGCGCTGCCAGGACGCTTTTTTCCGTCGCGCGGATTCGGCCGAGGAAAGAGGGGAACGGATCCATAAAGCCAAAGCTCCCCCCGCAGTCCCGTGTCGAAAGCCGAAAGCCGCAGGGATCGGTGCGAAAGCGGACGAAAGCGGGCGGAGCGGAGCACGACACGACAACGGCAGTGGAGATCCAGCCAGAGCCAGGCCGTGTATGCTAAACAAAGCGCCAATAAAATTGTCGTGGAGATATAAAAAGAAGGCAGGCCCAGCCATCCAGCCAGCCCAGCCAGCGAGCCCCGATTGACACACTATAAAACACGGTCGGGTCCGGAGGGAGGCTCGCGCCAAGGCTGAGTCGGAGGCGGCCGGAGAGGGGGAGGGAGAGGCACACCAAGGGCCCGCGGCCCGCGGCCCGCGGCGTTGTCCTGGATGGAGAGGGAGAGACACTCGAGGGGGAGGGGGAGCGCGGCTCCGCGGCGCAGCCAGAAAAGACGATTAACGGAAGGCGGGGGAGGACGAGGACACTCACCGCGCACGGCGCACACGGCGAGGGGCGGAGAGGAGAGGGGACGCCGAAGTCGCCGTACCGCTCCAACTTAGATTTTGCTTTTCAGTTTTTACTGGTGCGGGCACGGCGGCCTCGAGGCTGGAGGGTTGCTCGAGGGTCTCAACGCGGCACTGAATCCTCATTTAGCAAATCGCATTCTCGACGCGGAGAGGGGAGGGGGGGGGGTCGACTTTGTGGCGGTCCGTCCAGACGGAGCCTGATGCCGGGATTAGAGTTTGCATGGAGTGGGCCTGCGGACTGAATCCGAAAACGGACTCCGTCCTCTGTCTCGCTCGCACTCATGGGACGCCGCGTGGAGGGGTGTGTGTGTGTGTGTGTGTGGGGGAGAGGAGAGAGAGAGAGAGAGAGAGAGAGAGAGAGAGAGAGAGAGAGAGAGAGAGAGAGAGAGAGAGAGAGAGTCCCCTCGGCTGGCGCCGCGATTGCGGTTTCTTTCGGACTGGGCGATAGCGCCACTGCCTCCCCTCCCCTTCCGCTGAGCGACAAACCGCTGTCCGCCTACAAGACGCTAATCACGATGGCGAGGCGAGCGCGGCGAGCGCGGCGAGCGAGGCGTCGCCCGGAGGAAATAAAACTAAGGGCGGACGACACTAATCTGAAATTAACATCTTTTATAGGCCTTCCGGCCCTTTCCTCTTTTCCCGCCCTGTTTCCCGCTCTGTTTGTGTGCTCTGGCTGTTTGGCGAGGGACCGCGTGGCGGTCACTGCGGCTGCGGCACGGAAGGCGTCGGCCTGCCTCGGCGTCGCCGTCGACGTGTCTGTACCTCGCGCGCTCGCGTGTACTCCAGGTCGGGGCCGCGCTGCGCCGCTGCGCCGGTCGCATCGTGTAACATGCACACCGCACGCCCCGGGTACCCCGCCCCGCCCCGCCCCGCCCCGCCCCGCCAGGCAGCCCTCCGGAGGCGCGGCCGTCGGCCTGGAAATAAAATCGATACCGGGACGTAAGTGGTGTCCAAGGGGCGCCCTGGCCGCGCAGCGCGCAGCCCGCAGCGCGAAGGCGAACGGAGCGGTGCAGTCATCCAGGGATGGCGCCGGGCGGCGCGGGGCGGCGCGGGGCGGAGCACGTCACGTCGAGACGGCCGAGGAGGCCCAGGCCCAGGCCGTGGGGAAGGCCACTCGCCGCGCGCCGCGCACGCCAGCAGGTACTGCGAGGGCTGCCTGCCTGCCTGCCTGCCAGGGCCTCGAATACATCAAAAAGCCATCACGCCCACGCGCCCCAGCGAGGGAGAGAGGGAGAGAGCGACGGGGCAGGCCAAGCGGCACAGTTGCGTTCCGCCCTCGCTGGCTGCCTCGCTGGCCCATGACCCTGCTGCTATCCGCCACACCCCGGACGGGATCGGTCGCGGCGGGGGCGGCGCGGAAGGGGGGGGGGAGATTAGGACGGCCAGGTGGATGGGCCGGGCGACGTCGCGTCGGCGTGGACGCGGGCTGGGCCTTGGGGCCTTGGGCTGAGCTGGACACTGCGGAGCAGGACGAAGGATTTCCCGACCCAACCGAACGCGAAATCTTCTTTTGCTTTTGCCGTGGCGGGGGCGGGGGCGGGGGTCCGGGGCAGGGGCATGGGGGACGTTCATTTTTCGCTCCGGACAGGGTGGAACAAAAGGTGCGACGGGGTCCCGGACAAATCCTCATTACAAGGAAGGCAGGCCGGGGTGAGGCAGGCGAAGCGAACGGAATGGAGGCGCATTCTCGCAGTATGACGGCGAGGCGGGGTGGCCCAATGGTGGCCCAATGGTGGCCCACTGGTGGCCCAATGGGGCGGCGGGGCGGCCGAGGCCCTCGATTCATGGAGCATGCGGCCCGGCGGAGCAGGCAGAGCAGGCAGAGGCGCGGCGGGGAATTTGATAAGAATTTCAATAATCTGGTTGGCGCCGCCCCGGCCGGCGCCACGCCGCGCCTCCCCTGTCGAGGGATACGGTGCCGCACCTTCCAGCAGCGCCACTGCAACCCCCAACACCACGACGACCACCACCACCACCGGCTTAACTAGAGGTCGCCAAACTGTGTTACGCGACACCCCGCCCCAAAGACCGCCTTGTTCTTCCTGTTCTGTTTATTTTTAAACCCCACCACCACCGCGCACGCAAAACCGTGCACAGAAAAAAAAAAAGAAAATTAAAACGAAACCCAAAAGCATACACAAACACAACCCCACGCTAAGGATTTTGAGCGGATTACCGGAGCCCCCTTTTCCGGCACCAGAGATTCGTTTATGCATTCAGCTTTGCTGCGTTATTGGCAACACTTGGTGCGGCGCTCCAATTTCCGACACACGCCGTCCTGCCTCGGCTCTGCTTGGCTCTGCCTGCTTGGCGGTGCGCGCGCGCCCACACACACACCCACACACACACACACACACACACACAGCACAGGGTGTTGCAGGCAGGCCCGGCCGTGCCATACCGCGATAAGTGGCCCACTTTATGAGCTCGGGCCTTAATTGCTAGGAGGGAGGGGGAGGGGGAGGGGGAGGGGGAGGGGAGGGGGAGGGGGCAGGGGGCTCGAGTGCGGGGTGGCCAGGTCGAGTCACCACGCGCCTGCCGGGGCGCGCGAGCCCCGCGAGCCTGCAGAGGACGGCCCGGGGGGTTTTTATTATAAAGTCATTCCTTTAAAAAATTAACCAGAGTGTGCCGTGGCCGCGGGGAGGGCCGTGCCACACGTCCGACGGAACGCCACGGAAGGAGGGAAAGGAAAAAAGGGGGGGGGGCACGTTCGACTCAGCGGAACGCGCATCCCCCTTTTTTTACGCCCCGTTTTAATAGGTTTTTATTGTTCCCGGAATTGCTTGCAGTGGTGCCGTTTCCGCGATGATACACCCGGCATGCGTTTCTGGCGGCGTTCTGGATGGTCGAAGGGACCTGGTAAAGCGGCTGGAAAAAAAAGCGGGCGAAGTTATACCTGCGGAGTGGTGAGGCAGGCGGCGAAGCGAGGGGCGCGGCGCGGAACGCAGCGGAGGGAGAGAGACGGGGGAACAAAGCGGCCGCAAATTAAACACAAGTGTGTGGCGGCACAGCGGGTGGCACAGCGGGTGGCACACGCGGAAAAGCGGAGACTCTGAT